CAGTTCCATAGTGCAAGAAGACATTTGTTAAAAATGGAAAAGTAAGAAATATAGAAGTATCGTGTGTATATGCCGACTCCCATTTGTTTATAGGATCCTTGGAAGGGTTTCACCGTGCCCATCCCCTCTGAATATCTAACCTCTCCCTTGTTTCACTCTACTAACCCCTTCCCCGCTCCCCTAGACAGCAGAGTGATCTCTCTAAAACACGTGTCTGATCGCGTTATACCCTCATACTTTAAATATCACCAATTTCCCCCATTCTCTACCACAGGGGTTCTCCGCCTGGGCACTCTTGACATGGAGGGCCAGATGACTCTTTTGTGGGGGCTGTCCTATACATTGTAGAGTGTTCAGCAGCATCACTGGTCTCTAACCACTAGATGCCAGTAGACGCTCCCCTGTAGTAGGCGGAACAATGTCTCCTGAAAGATATTCATACCCTAATCTCTGGAACCTGTGAGTATGTTAAGTTACATGGCAAGGGAAAATTAAGGTTGCAGATGGGATTAAAGGTTACTAATCAACTGACCTTAAAATAATGAGATTAACCTGGATTATTCAAGTAAGCCCAATGTTATCACAAACGTCCTTAAGAGGGAGAAATGACTACGTGGAAGAAAGTCAAAGAGATGCAACATGTCTAGCTTTGAAGATGACGGAAGATAGTGGGCCTCTGGAAAAGCCAAACATACAGATCCTAGAGCCCTCAGAAGGAATACAGCCCCGCCAACACCTTGACTTCAGCCTAGAGACCATTTCAAACTTCTGTCCTCCAGAAATGTAAGATAAGAAATCTGTTTTGCTCTACGCCACCAAGTTTGGGGCAATTTGCTACAGCAGCCATAGAAAACTAATACATCACCATCCCCAGCTGTGTCAACCAAAACTGCCCCCAGTTTGAGAAACACTGCTGTGCAAAACGCACAGTCCAGATTCCTCAGATGTGCACAGAGGGCTCTTCGTAATTAATGCTACCTAACCTGTTGTACTGGCATCAAACACAGAGCAAGATGCAGCCTTGCTCCAGCCACACCACACTTCTAACTGCACACACACTTGACACGTTTTGACTCTCTGCAGATTTGCTGCCAAGAGGTGCCTTGAAGGGTAGGCAATGGCCCTCCCGCCATTTTTATCCACACCCATAGGTAGTCATTATCTTCTAATATGTGTCCGATTTCTGCTTTCATTAGATTACTACATAAAAATCCATGTGGTTGCCGCATATATGAAACCACAGATGTGCTAACCTCCTCCTCCAAACAAATCACTGCTCCAAGCCCCCCTAAGTTCTCTTCATTGGAGACTCTGGCATCGCCAACACTGCTGTGCTTGCCTCTTTTCTCTTTCATCAAGGAATCAACTTCATCTTCTAAATGGCAGTCATCCTTGAGATCAAGTTCCACTGTCCTTTATGTAATGGAGGTTTCCAAAGACCCTCCAAAGCATGGTGAACCATCACCACCTTCACCTGTCCCTGTCTCTCATTGTGTTGTGATCCTTGCGTCCTGTACCTATTGGTTGATTCATCCATCCTCCTCAGTAGACTCTGAGCTCTTTAGGAGCTGGCACCGTATTTTAGCCTCTCTGAATTCCTGACCGTTAGAGGAATGCTTGTGTTCAATAAGTGCTTGTGGCATGGATGAAGAAAAGAAGTCATGGATATAGAAAAGTTGATTTAATTATGGGTTATCAGAGCTGGGACACTCCAGATCAGCTATCAGCATAATCCCAGCTCTGATCCAAAAGAACTGGGAGAACCCCAGAGTTGGAATGAGACCTTGTGTGCGATCAGAATCAGGGACAAAACTTGGCTGCTAAGTATAGAAGTTGAGAAGCATGTCCCAGTTGTATTATGCATCATTTATCCTTTTGTCTTCTCCTTTTTCCTCTAAGATTTTATTTATTTTTAGAGAAAAGGGAAAGGAAGGAGAAAGAGAGGGAGAGAAACATCAACAGGTGGTTGCCCTTGTGCACCCCCTACGAGGGACCAGGCCCACAACCCAGGTGTGTGCCCTGGCTGGGAATTGAACCAGCGGCCCTTTGGTTCACAGGCCAGCACTCAATCCACTGAGCCACACCAGCCAGGGCTGTGTGCTCCCATTTTCTAATCAACAGATATTCTACCCAGCATGTCCATGTATCAGATTTTGGTAAAGCAATCCTGAAATACAGAGGGAGGAAATAGTAATAGAGTCATAGATGACTTCAACTAACACCTCCAGGTTTTAGGCCATAATATGGTCATTTGTGAGCTTTGAGCGCGCACAACTCATAGAGCTGCAGGCACTTACGAAGAGTCTTGGGAGCAGGAGCCCTCATAAGAACACTGAATTTAAAGCCAGTGAATCTGCTGAAAGAACTTAATAGAAAATGGATGTGATCCATCACTGGCTAAACCTGGGTAAAGGTGATTTCTCAGGTTTGTCTATGGATTCAATGGAAGAGAAACAGAGAGGCTGAATAAACCCTAAGAGGTCCGTGAAGAGGGATCCGCAGTTTCGAAACAGGATGAGGGCCCCGGGGAAACTTCCTGCCAGCTGAAAGCACTCCTCTAAGCGCTCATTAGATGGCCAGCACGGGGCGCTACATTCAACTCACAGGGGCAGCGATTCTCAGCTGGGGCAATTTTGACACCTAGGGTAGTGTTTCTAGACATTTTTCATTGAGGAGGGGTATTAGCCAGTAGAGGCTCAGGATGCTGCAAAACATCCTACAATGTGCAGGACAGCCCCACGCCAAAGAATCATTCGGCCACGAGTGTCGCCAGGGCAGACGCTGAGGAACCTTGGGCCAGAGCAACCAGAAAAAGCACGAGAATCAAATCTGCATGAACCAAATCTCACCGCCCCCCACCCTCCGCCCACCCCGGGGCCCATAAGTAGCCTTGCAAGGTGCTCATTTGCTGGGCTTTTGACATCATTAGTAAAAATTCTCTTTTAGGACAAAGGACCTGGCTTACTTGCCAGTGAGAAGGACAAGCAGTGCTCAATGAGATGCATTTCCTTGGTTTTTGAGAGGGTTCCAAGGCGTTAAACCTTTGAAAGGTAATCCAGGCCGTTAAATTCCAGACCCAGGGGTTACGTTAGGATATCTGGGCCTCTCCTAAACAAAATCAGTCCTGGGTCTGCATGCCAGGATTCTATCCAATCACTTGTGTCCGCCTCAGGGATAAAGGGATCTCTCACACACACACACGAACATTTTATGAGAAAATTTTGTTCTTTTGCTAGATGGCTCTGCACTTAGTTTTAACCATTGCAAAGAGGTGAAAGTCACAGTAGATAAGCTTGCAGGCTGCCCAACTACTTGTAAAACAGTGTGAAGCCACCGGTATTGCTGCAGTTCAGACACTTGTCCATTGATTATGAGATTGAATGGCCAAGAAAATAATTTCTAACCAGCTGTGATCATCTACAACAGATTGCCTTTCAGTCCTAACAGTGGCCAACAGCTCCTGTATATTACATTCCAATTATGTGTGGATGCTAAGGAAAATGGGTACATTCTTAAAGATGCAATTAGGCTTAAAGGTGAATGTCAGTGGCTATCTAATCCAAGAACTTGGCTTGCTTTTGCATTTCTGTCTGTTTCTGTCAACTTCACCAGATTAATCCGATAATGCGTGCTTCTGATAGAGAGCAGGAATCCAGCCCCTTCCAGAGATCAAGAGAAATTCAATATTTAGATTTTTGATGTTTGGGTCTTTCTAATGCTGGCTTCCCTAGTTTGGAGAAAATCCCTTGCTTTCTGACTTGACTCTTCCTTCTCCTGCACATTTTCCTCAAGAAAAAGGGCAGAACAATCAGCAGCATTTGGCAGTTTTTGTCATCCTTGCTCCCCACCCAACAGCAGCAGTTACTTTGACACAGTAAAACTAACATTTTATTAGTATGTGATGCTAATATTTCTGATAACTACTGCTGATTTTTCTACAGCGATTTATTAAAAGCCAAAATCTCATAGTTATCTCTTGTTAACAGAGCGAGGTAGGATCTTGGATGTTATTTTCAAACTGTTTTTCTTGGTTCCATTTCCTTTATTTAGTCTAAATCTCCAGCAATTACATGGTATTGCGTTTCATTTCTGTAATTCTAACTCTACAATATTTAATTACAACCGATGGAATCTCCCTTCCTTTATGGAAACAGATCCAAGGCAAATCTATAGACTTTGTACACCGAGATAGGAGTTGTTCGTTTTAAAAACAACTACTATTTCTTTTCTAAAAGCATGCTGCTTTCCAAGTGCCCATCAACCACAGTTTCCCAACAGCTCTGTTCTTCACTCCTCCTAAGCACAGAGCTCCCTCTGAGATCCTTATTTACTAATGATTCCTGATTCACATATATTTCACTGATGAAATAAGTCAACTAGGTGACAGGGACAACTGCTAGTTGTCCTTAGTGGAATTTGGGCATGTCTCCAGCACTTTTCATAGCCTTCACCGGAGATTTCTTCCCTATGTTAAACGTGTACGCCACACCATAGAGTTCTCATTTCAGAAGAAAATTATCAACACTAGAGAATTTTAGTAGTCACTCCCCTCTGCCACGCAAGCACACAGAACTACGCCACCGCCCTCCAGAATCAGGTTCCTGAATTACCTGTCGAACAACCAGATGGCAGGCATATTTTACCTAATCCTTACACACCGCTTAGAAATAGATCATTTGAGTTCCTACAAAGGCCAGCTTTTGGTGAGGGACTAAGAGGACCCTTTGGAACGGCCTGCAGGAAACAGGAAAGCAGGGCACCCTGTCTTCCTCCGGCGCCCACCGCCGCTCCAAGTGGAGCCGAGCAGCCCTAACGAGAGGCACACGTGTGACCGCTAGGGATGGGATGACCCATTTCCAGGAACCATTCACCAGCCAAAGAGAAACAGCCGCACCGCGGGAACCCCTCAGTGGGCCCCAGGCTCTGTAAATGTGATGAAACTAAAGAACTTCCCAAGCGTCCATCCTTGGGCCGTGAGGGCCCGTGGCACCAGACCCTACCTCGGACTTCCACACGACGTAGGGGTGGCCGTGGCTGTTGGGTGGGGACTGGAACTTTCTCTGCTGGAGCCACCTCCTGGGAGAAGCGAAGATGCTGTTGGAGCCTCCCCCGGAGGAGCAGAGGATGGCGCTGCGGCCACTGCCCGGCCCCGCCAGGACCGAAGGCAGGTCCCAAGCCATGCTCTTCTTGAGGCTGCTGCGACCCGGGGGGACCTCATAGTCAAAGTGGAAGCTGCCAGAGGGCGACTTCTCCTGTGGGGTGCTTGGAGTGGAGTAGGACGAGCACAGGGGTCTAGGGGGTGGAAGTCGGTTGGCCCGGGAGTGCGGGCCCCGGGAAGAGGACGCCGAGCGGGGCCCGAGGCCTTCGGCCGGAGGCAATGGGGAGCAGAGGCGGCTCCCGGCGGCCCCCGGCGAGCCGCCCTCCACGCCCACCTCGCCCCGGCTGCCGCCGATCAGGGCTGGGTCCAGGCTGCGGGTCTGGCGCAGCTTCCTCTTGGAGAAGCCCTGGGCTGAGGCCGAGCCGCCCGAGGCCGGCGAGGAGCAGGAGAAGACACTGTGGAGCAGGCTTTGCGCGGACATCACGGCAGGGCTATGCCCGAGGGCCACCCTCTTCCCGCTCTCGGAATACTGGCGATTTGGGGCGCGGAAAGAAAGGGGGCTCAGGAGATGCTGCCAGGCTCGGAGGGCGGTGGTGGGCAGTGCCAGGCTCACGTGCCACTAGCGCACTACAAGTGCCCCGGTGGGGGCAGAAGCAGGAGATCCATCATCAGCCTTCTAGGAAAAGGGTCGGGGGGGCCTACGGCGGCTAGAACCTTCCCCCGGCGCCGAAGTTGCGAAGGAGGTAGTAAGGAAGAGGAGGAGGAAGGTCAGGCGCTCGCTGAGTTCCCAGCTCCAGCGCGCCAGCGCTACTCCTGCTTTCCAGCTGAGGAGGGAGACTCCGGGCTTCTGCTCCCTGGCGCTGGGCAGCCTCGAAGTCTCCAGCAAGCTCTTCCTCGCACCCTGAGGACGGTCGCGGGGGGCTGGGGCGGAGGCCTCCGGGGCGTGCGCCCTGGGCGCGTCCGTGCTCCCAGGGCAGCGAGAGGGACTTCCTCCAGCGATGGAGCTGGGCGCCCGGACTGCGCCGCGGGAGTTACAGTCGCCGTCTCCCGGGGCCCCTGAAGCTGAGTGTCTGGCCTGCACTTGGCTGCTGCGCCCAATCCTTCAACTGCTTAGGCGCAAGAGTGTCTCCAACCTCCAGGTTCCGCAGAGTGCCAGTCTTGCCACAAAGCGGGGACACGGAGCCCGCTTCGCCCGGGGCCTTCCAAGGACTGAGTGGTTACGATGGGAGAGAATTCCTGGCAGTGCTCGGGGAGCTAAGGAGAGAACCCTAGGGGCGGATACCCATGGTCCGCTCGGAGGGACTCTTGATACTCGCAGCCCAGCCTTGGGCCCAGGGCAGGCGCGGAGATGTCCCCGCACGCACGCTCAGGCTAGAGGCAGCGGGAAGGGCGCAGCCGGCACCGGCAGGGCGGGAGGGAAGCCAGGTCTGGAGCTGAGGCGGAGCCAGGAGCAGGAGAAAGCAGAACCTGGAGAAGTTTTCCAGGCGCCCAACCTGGGAGCCGCCCCTAATACCGGGTCTCCTGGGGAGAAAGCCGTGAGGACGGAAGTGCGGACCTTCTCCCCGGCCTCCCCTCCCCCAGATCGAGGGGGGCGCCAGCTCCACTCACGTTTCTGGAAAGGAAAGGAAGTGTCAGATTGCACCCCACCCACTGGTGTCAGATTGGCAACCCAGGACGGTCGCTCTTAAGTTGAAGTTAAATGTCCTGCCTTCCTTCTCCCGCTGCTCGTCCCCCCCCCAACCCCCCCACCCCACCCGACCCTCCCGCCCCCGCTGTTTTTGCTTTTTAAAAAGGAAAGATGGAGATTCAGTTCCAATGGGCTGGAGATGGGACCTACTAAGTGCTGGGGCGGGGTGGGGGGAATCCTTTCTGCGAAAATGTACTCCAGGAGGAGGGGGCAGCGAGGCCGGGTGGGGTCAGGCGCCTCCAGGCGCGGGCCAGGCGCTGGGCGCAGCGTCAGCCCGGAGGCTGCGGAGATTAGCGCTTTCAAAGCGCTGGGTCTCTGGTTCGGATCTTGTACGCCTCTGGGCGCAGCAAGCCAAGGCCACATTCCTAGGAGGCTGGAAAATGCTGGCCATGTCAATGTTCCCTGCTTGGAAACCAGTCTGGGAGCAGCTTCTCCGGCTACTGTCCCGCCGCTGGAATCTCTAAAGCGCAAAGCCTCGCCTGTCTCTCGGCAGGCTTTTTGACGTACCACTTCAGTTTTGCAACGCATCTTACAACTTTCTCGTAATTAACAGAAGAATTCGTTGCTCCTTTCCCAGCCCAGGATCTCTCAGGTAGATTTTTTGGCAAATGCAGCAGGACAGGTTGCAGCCGGGACGTTCCTTCCAGTAACTTTATGAACTCTCTGCTGCCTGCAAACGGAATGAGATACAGATTTTCCATTTCATTGCTATCCATCTCTTCTTACCCTGAACCTGCAGTGATTTCAGCGGCTGATGACAAGGTGTGCTGTGGAGAGGCACGGCATTTAAAATCGCTCGCTTCCTTGCCTGACTACACACAGCAAATTACACTTGGGGCATTGTTGATGTTTGCTTTCTTCCCTCCTCAAACAAGTCACATTAGAAGTAAAAGAAGGTGGGTCTCACCTGCCCTTTTCCTAGCAATACCTTGTAGCTTGTCACTAGTAATGAAAACCCTTAATGTCTCTGCCATTTGAATACCACTATGTGAAACTGGTTATGCCTCATTGGTTTTTGGCATTTGGGGTAGATGGTTAACAAAGTCACACTTCCTAGAATCACTTATAACTCAAGGTGGTTGAGCAAATGTAATTTAGGATTCATATACATTCAATTTCTCTAAGCCCATAGCATGGCCTTGAGGTTGAAAATGCAGCCCTGCCATAATTAACGAGGGCTAATAAGAATGCCCTACAGGCACAGATTCACACATTCTTGGTCGTGTAGGTCGGAGAGGCAGTGAGCACGGGGACACTTCTATTGGCACTGGCTGCTTGGAGCAGCCTCATTCAGTTCATTCATCATCTTGCTTCCAAGGGGTCCATTGGCCTGGGGCTTGCCTCATGGTTGGAAACAATGAATAAATTGTTGTAAATAATCATAAAATTAAGCTCGGGCTCCATTTAAAAGCCCAGTGTAAGTATATGCATTTTTAAAACACAGGGAAAAAAATGTAATGGCTCTTCTGGAAAGAACGATTTTATAATAAAATTATTTGGACTTTTAAATGCTCTTTTCAAAACTATTTTCATTTCCAACCTGATTGCCGTTAGGTTTATTTTGCAGTCCTTGGGGCTTATGTTATATTCGTTCATTCTTAGTTAGGCTCAAACATTGGCTTTACTGATTGACTGTCATCTTATGCCAAACTTGATTAAGGAAGATCTGGGTTTCATTTACCAGTTTCAAAAACGGCTGGTGTTGTTACACCGATCCCCAGAATCTTTCTCATAATTCATCAGCCTGCTTAAAAATCATTATAACTGCTAGTCTAGAAATAAATGATTTTGGAATATATATACTTTAAAAATCAGGTCTCTAAGACTTTGCTCCTTTATTAGGGCATTTGCTATTGAAAACTAGTGTCCATATTTCATTATTATTTTTTCCTCAAAGCTGAAGTTAATCAAAGCCTTAGGATACCTTTTATTAAAGGACAGAACAGTCTGTTCACTATTTATTTCCTGTTATAATTATCCTAGAAATTCACAATGAAAAAAAAATCTGTTCCAGCTGGTCATGGCACAAGAATAGTCTAATGAAAATTCTAGAGTTCTTGGTCTGACATCAAGGTATCCTCTTATCAAGGATCCTAGATAACTCAGTTTTCTTTCTATTCCCTTGAGACACTGTTCTACAAATACGTATATCTTACTACCAAAGGATATAGTCTATTAAACCTAACTTTCCCTTTTCTTAACTTTATCCCTTAAAATTTTTATTATCTCCAGCCAAAATTCCTCTTGCCCCTTGGTGTTAAGACCCTTGAGCTATCTGTAGATTTTTATCGTGTCCCTTGGGTCTGACTTTGTGGTTTGGCTACAGTATAAAGTTCATATTTTGCTTTAAAACCATCATTGCAGATGATCTCCTCTGGATTCCCTCCAGTGACTTATTTCTTTTCAGTTCTGAGGTCCAGTACTTCAGGTTAGGACATGCTATTTTGCCCTCGTTTGTTATATAATCCCGTGGCTTATATAGTCCCAAATCACACCGAACTTCCTGATTGACTGCCATATAATATTTCAGACTTCTATCTGATTGGCTCCCAACTCTTAGTCAGCATCACTGATTTCTGTTTCAGTCTGCCTGTGTCTCTCAGATTCTGATTCCTCTGGTATCATTTCTACATTCTTAGTGGTATGTGGGGGTAAACAGTTCACAGCATCTCACTGTCCCATAGAGGAAGCTAAGGATTCTGCTTCCAAGCTCCTGAAACATGAAAAGAGAAGCATGATTTTAATCTGCATTATGTGGAATATATGACAAACGTGTGGAGAACTTTCAACAGGGCTTAAGAATGCTAATTACATTAAACAACCAGATTGTCCCATGCCTAAACTACTTCTTGATTGTAAGCAGGGGAACTAAGAATGTTGCTTTGGATTCTAGGATTTTCTAGGATTTTCCTGAATGAACGTAATCGCCAAGGGACTTAAACTACAATTGATAGATGTCAGGGGCGGTAAATCGACAGTTGCAGGATAATTTCATATGGGTAAGATGAGTAAAAACACACTTTCTTAAACACCAACCCAGCATTGAGGAGCAGTGATCATTTTCCAAAGATGGAAGTGTTGTCATAGTAATTCTTCAGCAGGTGAACAGAAAGATCTACGGGACAGGAGGGTATTTGAGAGCTTGAGTCCTAACTGGTACTATAATGTGAGAAGACTAAGATGTAAGTTACACTCTCCACCTCAGAGAACAATTTAATATTCTAATGCCAACATAGATATTCAGGGGAAAAAGACTTGATACCAACACTAAAGGGAAATGGCGCTAAGCATGTCTATACCATTTGCTAAACTGAATTTAGAGTTGTACTCAAGATCATCTGCTCAGACAGCTTGCTCCTGAGCCTTTAATCATAACAATACAACAATTAACACTTGCTGGAACTTACTGTAGAGCAGGCACTGGGCTCAAATCATACGTGCACTATCCAAGTCAACTGTCATGCACGCACATATAAAACTATAACACTTAACCCTCAATTTTATAGGTGAAGAAAACCAAGGCCTACACCAGTCCCGCAGGTCACCCCCTTGTTAAGTGGCAGAGATAATATTCAGATCTATGTGCAGGACTAGAGTTGCAGATTAAGAAGCTATTCTATTTGTAAGTGCTTTGGGACCCTTTCTGAATGGATTTCAATTCGTTGATTTCCTATCTAGCCACGTGACCTTGGGTACATCATTTCAGAGTTCTTATTCTCACTTTCCATCTGCAAAATTATGTGCGCTTCAGAGGACGACAAGATGAGAATCGGACCTAATGTATGCAGCGCAGA